GCCAGTGCCTTAGAATATCAGGGACTATTCAAACAGTGGAATCTAGCTCTATTATGAAAACTGCATGATTGCCCATTTTAAATCAACAAAGCCTGCTAATCTCTGTTACATTCTTTTAAATGCCCTAATCTATGTCATCAACTCAAAATTCAATGGAAAACACATCTTTGGTCACTGGATAAAATTATCTTCTAAAACACTTCCCTTGATTTAAATATTTGCAAATGATTCAGATAGCCTGAAACTCCACTGTGCGAAGGCAAATGGCCTTTTCAAAGCAGTGCAGAATAGCTAGGAGCCTGAACCAAATGTTTTAATAAGGACGATGGAACAATTAGCTGCCTTCTAAGGTACCCTATCCTTTTAATTTCATGTCAAATCACAGGAAAAAGCAGGATAGCTGGCTTAATTTACATGCACATAATGTGAGCGGATCCTTTAAAAAAGGAAATTTCAGATATTACCTGGTATGCATAAATCATTTGAGTTTAAATCATATGCCTTTAAAGGGATTTAAACAGTATTGTCCATTAGTACAAATAATGGCACCAGGGGATTAGGCTAAGAGAGAAATGCTGTATGTGAAAGGAGGAGAAACTTTACAAGAGAAATGTGACTATGTTTGGTGACAACACTGAACACAGTGTCACCACAGGAGCCTCCAAGTGCCCTTTAGGTAAGGACGACTATGATTACGGGGACTCTACTTAGGTCGAGAGAAAGGAGACAAAGCTATAGGCAAGATGGCTTTCCCTTCTCAAGCTTTTCTGTTCACTCTTTCATAGTGTTGAGGCAAACGGAAACACTGAAGGGAGGGCAACAGGCTGTATCCTTTCAGATCTGGAAGAGCGTGCAAAATAAAAAATAAAAATCTCCAGCAGGAAAACATAACCTGGAATTTTACAAGTTAATGGCGTGGAACTTTCTAGATGTGTTGCCATAAAATTTAAGTTTAACTACTGTGAAGGTTTATGGAAGAATATGTGATGAAACAGTAAAATTTGGAGAAACAACTATAGTTACTCTGGACAAACTTTGTATTGGCAGCTCCTTGTTATTTAGAATGAGTCACAGCTGGTAAGAGCCAGAAGGGGTCTTAGAGATGATTTAATGATCCATTTTATACGTGAGAAAACTGAGGCCCCCAGAGAGTGATTTATTCAAGGGCAATGATTGATGAGGCAGAGACAAGCATAGAATCCAGATGCCTATTTCTCTCTAATTAATTCATATGCCATTTGGTTTTGCAACAGGTGATGTGACTAAGTTCAAGTACTAGCACGACTATGGGGGGTACCATTTCTGGGGGGTCTATGAGGTCAACACTAAGGTGTATTTGCCTCTTCATTCTCATTCCCTGTCACGGCTGTACAGTGAGTGCAGGACATGCCATACCGCAACAGACCACTGTAGAAACATAGGAGAATCCAGCTTCTATTAAGTCAGACATCAAGGGTTGCAAAAATGTAAAATAATGCCACTCACTAAATTTACTTTTGTTCTGGACAATATAGTTATTTTCATAGAAATTTACTTAACATTCAATAGAAGTATTATTTTGAATAAATTAATGACAAATATTTAACATTTTTCTCATTTACATTTTTTACCTATGAACTCGCATACAGAAAAGCTCTTTGGGATCCTCAGTAATTTTTAAGAGTATAAAGGGGTCCCAAGAGCACAAGGTTTAAGAATGGCTGTACTAGAACTACAAAAGGTAGGAAGGAAACAATAATGAAAGTGAAATTTTACAAACACTATACTCAACATAAAACAGCCACCCTTCCCTTTTTGGATCCATCTGTCACTTTCAGAAGCATGATTAGAACATGACACTTGCATCAATCATGAGTAACAAGAACAGTGACAGTTTTCAGCATGGTTTCCAGTTTAGGTGGAGCTGGACTGGAATTTTGGCCCGGCCACTCCTCGCCTCTGAGAACTGATCAGGTGGGCCTCAGCTGCCTCACCCCCACGAACGGAGACTCACGCCTACCCCTGTGAAAGAGCGAGGCTAAGCAAACCACCGGGACAGTGCCTGGCACATGGGTATGTGCTTAGTTTGGCTATTCTTCTTCAAAATCCTGTGCTCTCCCAACAATACTAAACTGTTGCCCTCATCATTCTTGAAGTCTCACATTCTGTACTGGAATTTAAAAATAATCAATGCTTATTAACCCAAACGTGTCTCTGTATCCTTTTTCCTCTCTCTTTTTCATGCCATCTTACCTTGTAGTCTTTTTTTTTGGGGCGGGGGGATGAGTCACTTAACGTCTCTGAATGCAATTTGAGTATTGCACAGGAAGCATAATTCTTAACCCTGGCAGCAATTACGAGTGTGGCTCGGGGCTGGTCTCCACTGGTTTGAACACCAGTCTCATTGACTACTGGCTGCAGAACCACAGGCAAATTGCATAATCTCCATGCGCCTGACTTCCTTACCTGTAAAAACCAAAGCTAGTAACCGCATCTGCCTCAATGGGCTGTTATGAGAATTAAATGAGTTAATGTGTATGAAGTATTTAGGACAGTGCCAGGCATGTAGAGAAAGCTCAAAAATGTTTCACAGCTTATTATTACTAGCTACAAAATAAGATTAGGCTCGGCCATTTTTTCTCTAACCTTGGTGAGAAGACTCTCCACCGCCTTGTTACTGTCTCTATAGCCTGACCCCACTCTCGCTTCCCCTTCTGTCCTCCAGCGCTTCTGTGGCACTTCACAAGCTGTGCTGGGAGGACTGGCCAGCAGACCACACCAGCCAGCCAACCACCAGCACCACCTCTTCCAGTTCCAGACTCCCATGATTCCTTTCTTCCCTAACTGGTCCTCACGTGTTCTCAATACAACCAACGATTAATGCTGCAGCTTTTCCCTATGGCTTCTGAGGCAAGCGTCATCCTTTTCTGAAATGCTTTGCTTTGAATATCAAAGACATAAAACAATAAAACGAGACACGCATAAAACCAAATACATATTTAGCAGTGTTCTCATAAATGAAATTGATAGTACCAAGGAAGAACAACCAAAATGGTTAATAAGACAACTTTTCTACCAAAAGAATAAGGATAGCGGGGTGACGAACAGGTACCAGTAACGCCATTTAACCACCATGTGACCTGACAGTCTGTTCAGGAGTACCCCATGTCCCCGGGGGTGCAAGTCTGGTTTCTGTAAAGATACAAGTGACCTGAGCCCTCAGCTCATGACGATGAGGTTTCACTGGGTCTTTTATTTCAGCTTTCTAAATTTCTACATTTTTTTTCCCAGAGAAATGAAAATTAAAACAAGAAACAATGTTCCTCTCATCAGGTTGGCAAAACTTGGAGGTTTTTTTTTAAATGAAATAAAAATGTTTTCACTATTATGTAACATGCAGTTTTAAATGAGAGAGAATAGGCTAAATGAAAAGTAACTCCTTTCTACTTTAAAATTCTACTGATATATATGACATATGCGATTTATACTCTTGGATAAAACAAAACATACCATGAAACCCCCCAAAATACCGTATTTTTTCCCTAATTAATTCCCTATCTTCTTGGTTATGGAGAGGAATGAACTCTTCTGTAAAGATTTTGCAATATCCTCTATACCTTACTTTTTAAGAGTCAGGGCGTTGCGGGGAGGAGTATTTCTTAGTGGGAAAAAATTCTGTTTGCCTTAAACAGGATATTTAGGGGTTGTAAAAAATAATCCTTTCATAATATTGGGGGGGGGCTTCTGTTTTTATCTAGGGGGTCAAGGAACACCTCTCTGAGCAGGAGATGTTTGGGCTGAGACCTAAAGGAAGTGAGGGAACTAGTTTCAGGGAGCTGAGGTAGTGTCCAGAGAGTAATAATATATGCAAATATCCTGAGGCAGAAACATGCCTGGTCTGTGGGAAGACCTCCAGGGAGGCGAGTGTGGCTCAAACAGCGTCGGCAAGGAGAACTAGGCAGGGGAGGAGGTTAGGGAGGAGGGGGAGACCAGGCTGCATGGGGCCTTGAGGCCTGGATTTTACTCCAGGAGAGATGGGAAGACCCTAGAGAGTTTTAGACCGAAAAGTAACATTTTGGGTGACTACGTGCCGCAGAGTACACTTGAAAAATACAGTGCTATGTTGGAAGAAATGGAGAAGCATAAAATGGGGTGAGCAGACATGCTGCTCTGAGACAGTGGTGTCGTTTCCCGACGTCCAGCTTGCGCACTAAGGGTGATGTGCACTGGCTCAGGCTTGGCACAGCTTGAAAAAGCGAAAATTCCACATCAGCGTTTCCCTGTTTCATGAAATTTGGTGCAGGTGTACAAGGATGTGGAGAAGGAGCATGAGGTGTACTTTTCAGGGAAATTTTAGACTCTAGCCAGTAGAGTCTCTTTCTAGGCCTCATCTAACAATTCAATTAAGCCTCTAGAGACATCCTGATGGACTCTGAAGGGCGTCCACAAGCACGGTCACTCATGATTCTCCAAGCCGCCCTGTGAGGTGGGTAGGGCAGGCCTTATTGCCCTCTGCCGGCAAATCAGCACACACAGCTGGAGAGGTTCCTGCCCAGATCACACAGCTGGTTGGTGACCACCGAGGGAGGGAGTGGAGCCAAGATTCTTGGTGGTGAATTCAGGTTCTTCCCACGGCTGATTCTGTGCCGCTCAGGCCACCAATTTTTCCTTCCCCCAACTGAAGACGGCTCACACACAGGGGATGCAGAGGAGACACAGAAGATGCCACCTTGGGGATAACACCGAGGAGCCCCACTTTGCCTCAGCATGAAGTGATCTGCTCTTTGATTACATGTGGTGACTTAGCATTTCAGCCTACATTTGTTTTTGTGTGAAGTTCTCCATAAATGGTGGGAAAACGTAGCTTGTGAAAAGATGCACCGTTTGTAGAAGTGACAGGGTGCCACTGTTTCTCTTAACATATACGCATGCCTGGCCTTACAGAGCTTGTTCTGTGTAAGCCATGACCTGGGCCCATTTGTAAACCAGAGGGGAAGGGAAAGAAACTGAAAATTACTTACTAAATAAACATCGAGCACGGAGGCGTTATCATCCTCTATTTCCAGAGCATTTGGCTCAGAAGTCACGTAGATGGTCCCCTCTTCCAAGGTAAATGTCGAACTGGAAGGTAACCCTTTACTGGAAAAGTAAAGAAGAGTAATGATGAGGGCGTGACCTCTAGAACAAAACCCAAGGACACCTCCAAAATTGTGCTAAAGAGGGTGAGAGTGGGAAGGCTTTTTGGGATTAAAAAAAATTGTTTTGAGTGTTAGAAGGCAATCTGGTTACACCTGGAAATGTGCTCACTTGAGGTTAAATAATTTGGTTTTGCTAACCAGCCAGTTTTCTCTATCTCCTTTGGTGTATGAAACGTTTCTTTCTCATTTCTGAGAGGCCATTTGCGGGTCCTGTGCCTTGTGAGGGAGAGCTGCTGGGACTCTTGCAACCATGGGTTATCTTTGACTTTGAAGAGCTGGCTCTCTGTGCTAAAGCTCTCCTCTCACAGTATTCCTGCTTTGCTAGTTTATAAGAGATGACCTTGTGCTTCGTTAGCACTGATGATTTCTTTCCACTGTTTTTTGTTTCTATTTTTGGCAAGAAAAGTTTAACTACAGCCACGGTTCTCAAGGTTCTCAAACTTCAACGTGCATCAGAATCCCCAGGAGGGCTGGCTAAAACCCAGTTTCCTGGGCCCCGCTTCCACAGTTTCGGCTTCAGTCAGAGCCCAGGGGTTTGCATTTCCAACAAACTCGCACATGATGCTCATGCAGCGAGTGCAAGGCCTACATTGTTACAATGAATTACATAAATACGTAAGTGAATTACATAAGTACATAAATGAGTTACATAAATACAGAGCATTGCATTATGTGCTTTTGGAGGAATTACATAAATACAGAGCATTGAATTATGTGCTTTTTGAGGATAAGCCTACATGTATCCTTAGTAACAACAAAAGCCAAAGGAATGTAGGTAGACAGTCATATTGAAGAGTCACTTATGAAAGGAAATCACCTTGTTTTGTCATGATACCAGTGCTCACTATTTAAGTAATTGGTCCATTTTCATAGTATTTAAATTGGGAATTAATTTAAGGGCTCCGAAATGCACAATCTTTCCTCACCGACTGATGAAACAGAGATTAGTTACGTTTTTAACCTGTGGAAATTTGCCATGTGATGGTTTTGGGAAACATAGTATCTGCAAACAATGGTGGATGGGTGTGATACTGGTGTTAGACAAGCTGGGAGAAGGGAACAAACTTGGCATGGGCTGTGGCTTTCCCTCAGCAGGAAGCAGGGCTGAGAGCAGGGCTGCAGAAGACTGGCTTCCTTTCTCACTTGGCCATCACCAGGGCCTGTCTCGCTCTGGGCTTAGCTCAGAGCTCGCCCCTTTCTGAAAACCCCTATCTAAAGGCCTCCTTTGAGTTTCTTGTCTGAGCCTCCCAGTTGGACGGGAGATTATTGAGGACATTGTATTCCCCTCTCCTTTCCTAGTCTGGGAAATAATTCTGTTTGTCTCTATTAATTGAAGATATGTGAAATAGTTAGAAATCCTGACCTTTACAATATATAAAATAACATTTGTGAAAAGAACTGTGTGATCATGGTCTAGTTCATTTGAATTTTTCCCTGATCACCATAAAAGACCTAAAGAGAAAACTGTAAGAATACAGACCAGTGTTAGGAGGAAGCAGAGGTGGGCTCTCCCATAGGCCTTCCCTTTGATGATATTTGAGAATGTGTGAATCAAAGGACTAAAACCACTTCCCTTTTGCCTTAATGCATTTTCTCCTAAATTCTGGATACTGTAAAAGAAGTTCCCTTGCTTTTCAAAAACCTAAGATGGGTTATACAATATGGGAAACAGTCTGTCCCGATTGATTTTAAAGAGGAGAGTGAATGTGCCCTTTTCCTATCTAGCTGTTGACTTCATATATAAATCTTCACAGACTTCTCAGTTTAAGTAAACTACCAGTGTTCAAGGGCTGCTATTTTGAGAGGCACTGTTTATCAATAAACATTGCCTGGGTTATTTTTTGGATCAAAACAATGATGCTCTTGTGGGCTTTATTTGACTTTTGCCTTTCAACTGTTAAGATGCCATTCACTACTCCAGTGAGTAAAAAATGCTCCTGCCTGGTTAAGCCTTACAAGAAAGATAACTTCCTTATCTACTTACACATAAAAACGAAGCACAAGGTGCTCAGAAAATATGTGATTGTGGCACACCTCTTGATTTTTATTTCTATTTTTTTTGGGGGGGGAGTTTGTAGTTTATATATAATTAAATATAAATTTATATTCATATAATTAAAAAACCTATAATGGCTTCTGGATTATTTTATAAACATACAATTTATTTGATGAGATTTGAAACTAAATTTTCCCCTTCTTGTCTGAATTTTTAGTTATGGTTTTTATTGATTTCCCTCCTAAGATTAAGGGTATAACAGAATATTCTATTGATAGAAGTGCTTTTCTCTTTAAAACTACTTAAATGGCACTACTTGTGGTGTAAAATATAGGCAAAAAGTAATCCTCTTCTTCCTGTTGTCCTCTTGTGACCCAGAGATTTACCTCTAGAAGTAAACCCAGTTTGCAAATATTTTTCTAACATCTAAAAAGTAAATCTAATACTTTTTTTCCGAAACCATGAGTAAACTACTAGCATGTTTAAGTAAAAACAGAAAAGACACCTTGAGTATTCTTTGGGATTTAACAGGTACATTTATGAATTTTTTTAGTTGAAATTAATAGCTGATTTCCTCAATATCATATGGTCTAAATTTGATAAAATAGGCATATTTAAAAAAAATTGTTATTTATACTGTTTTCCATGTATATTGGAATAGTTTCCTATCTTAGTAAGTAGAATATTCTGAGCACTAAATTTGGGGGACAAAAATGAGATTCATAGGAACTCATGTCAGATTATTCAAAGAACTCACAATTCAACAATGAAAAGGTAAATAATCCACTTTAGAAATAGCCAAAGGATCTGAATAGACATTTCTCCAAAACAGATATGCAATTGGACAATAAAGCACATGAAAAGATGCTCGGCATCACTAGTCATCAGGGGAATGCAAACGAAAACCACACTGGGAGAGCACTTCGAGCCCACTAGGATGGCTACGACACAAAAGACAGGTGTGTGTTGGAGAGGATGTGGAGAAACTGGAGCCCTCCTGCACTGCTGATGGGAATGTAAAATGGTGCTGCTACTCTGGAAAACAGTTTCATGGGTCCTTAAGACCATTTGAGCCAGCAATTCTTTTCCAAGAAATATGCCCAAGAAAAACGAATATATATACGTCCACATAAAAACTTGTACATGGGTGTGGCTGGTGTGTCTCGGTTGGTCGGAGTGTTGTCCCATAAACCAAAAGGTTGTGGGTTCTATTCCGGTGAGGGCACATGGCTAGGCTGTGGGTTCATCCCAGGTCGGGGAATGCACAAGAGGCAGCTTTGATGTTTCTCTCTAATGCCAATGTTTCTCTTCCTCTCTCTTTCCCTCCCTTCCATTCTCTAAAATCAGTAAGCATGTCCTTGGATGAGGATTAAAGAAAAATCCATTCCCATCATTTGTCTCTTAAAATTCCAAGTATTAAAAAAAAACGTGTACATGAATTTTCACCATAACAATATTCATAACAGCCAAAAAGTGTAAATTACACAAGTTTCCACTAACTGATCAATTGATAAATAATTCTCACAATGGAAAATTTTGGGGCAATAAAAAATAATGAAATACTGATATATACAACAACATGGTTGTTGAAAACGTGGTTAGTGAAAGAAACTTATCATACAGTCCCACCTATTATGTTATTTATTTTATGTGAAATGTACAGAATAAGCAAATCTATATAAAGAGAAAGCAGATCTGTGGTTACCAGGGACAGGAATAAGGGCGGGAACAGAGAGTGACGGCTCTCAGGTATACGGTCTCTTGTTCGGGGTGTTGAAAATGTTCTAAAATTAGACCCTACTGTTAGTTATACAACTCTTGGAATACATTAAAAATCACAAACCTGTATACTTTAAATGAATTAATTATATTTGTGAACTATATCTCAATAACATTTTTTAAAAAAAGGTTTCATGAAGTACCTGAGAATCATGATTCTAAACTTGGTCTCTTAGCACATGGTATTAGAAGTAACAGAAATTTGTTGGCATAGATTATCTTAGGCCACATTTTAGAACCATCTGCTTTGAATAAAGCCCTGACTTATTTGCCAGCCATTCAAAAGAAATTATCTTTTTCCTAATAGAGAAAAAAAGTCTGACCGACCTCATAAGAGGTCTGGGCTCTGAGGTTTCACGCCTGAGGTGAAGAGACCATGTGTGCAACCCATGGCGCCTGGAGAACCCTCTCTCGTGTTGCAGGGCGAGCGCTGGTACAGCACAGAACACAGGTAAGGGGACCTCCGTCCTGGAGGAGGCCCAGCCTGGAGCTTGCAAACTGCTGGCCCACAGTATGGCTGGGAGAAGTGAGTTTTGGACCCAAAGAGATTTTCGGAGTTTGAATGATCACTAAATTAAGAGATAAGAAATTCTTACAAACAAAACAAAAAAACCAAAAAAAACCCAAGAGTTTTCCACCACTTCTTAAGAGAGACCACAACAGCTGGCAAACTCTGAGTCCACAGTGCTGAGTGGCAAGGAGGTTGTGGCTGCCCCCTTTAAACTGGGCATGTCCCCTCCTGTCCCTAGGGTCCCCACTACTCTCTTCTGCATTATACCTGGCCTGTTCTACTCATTTGCATCATCTCTGCCTGGCCCCTCCGGGCACTTCTTAGCGCAACACTTCCTCACAGACAGGGAAGCTAAGGCCCAGGGAGCTGCAGTGGCTTGTCCAAGGTCACACTGTAACTGAATAGAGTTAGGGCCTGAACTTGGTTTTCTCAGTAAGCACCTTTTCTACGGCCATCTCTGCTGAAATGCCAAAACCAAGGTAGCTTAGGTAACGTGTCTAGGAACTTAAAACAATCACATAAATCAGCAAAAACAAGTGCAGTATATGACGCTTGATGTAAGCTTGGCAATCTTTGTTCTCCTGAGAAGAGCAATGATGGGTCGAAGCGTATGAGAAAAAAAGTAGCTTTACAAGGCAACATTGTTTTTGGAGTT